TGGAGAAGGAATGCAGAAGGAATGTTCAGAGCCTTGTTTCGAAACAAGATGCAGTAAACATGGCTGCGTCTGGGCCCTCCCACACTTACTGGGGTCATCAAAAGCATGGACAGGGAAGAGGGAAGTAGGGCACAGCCTCCTGCACACATCACCCCCGTCATCCAGCCCTGGACCATCTCAGCCCATCGGTGGGGCTTCCGTTGCCAAGGGTGGGGTGGCCTGTAAGATGAGGGCCTGCTCTGCAGAGGACCAGACAGGAGACTCAGTGTGGGCTGCGGGAGGATGGCAGACGCCAAGTGAGGCTGTGGGCAGGGAAAGAGGTGAAAACGGAAGCTGCCCAAGAGCCAATGCCGTGGCATAATGGAGGGGCCCTGGGGTTCACCCATTAGCATTCAAATCCTGACTTTGCCAATCACTAGCTGTGTAACCCAGTGCCTCAGGTTCCTCGCTGGTAATGAGAGGGCAATAACTGCACCTGTTTCTGAATTTGAATTCAGTCATGAGGGTGAAATCAGAATCAGAATTCTGATTCTGTTAGATAAAGCATGTGAGTGCTTAGCACAAGGCGTGGAACATATTAATTACCCAATTAGTACAGCTTCTGTATAATTGTGAGGGCAGGGGTCACATGACCTTGTTCGTGACCTCCTGAAGCTCCAGCCCACTGACTGTCCTTTGGAGTTGGGTCCTGAGCAGTGGAGGCCCTTCCTGGTAGCTCTGTTCTTCCTCCTCACTGACCAAAGGTCTGGTGGCTTCAGGCCAGCACTGGGTTCTACTGGCAAGCCTGAGGGTGGGTGCAGAAGCCCACCTTCTTTCTTCCTCTCTGAGGGGGGAAACACAGACCCTGGGGTCCGGAGGACTTGGAGTTTTATCCATGATGCCTCTGTGCAGTTGTTAATGGGTAGAGAGCTGTTATCCTAGCTTCAGGAACAAAGAGTGGCCTTGGGGTCATTCAATGTAGCCAGAGAAGAAGGAATAAATGAATGAATTCTCCAGGGAAGAGGCTTAGAAGAAGAGTGAAAGAAAGAGAGGTGAGAGTGAGAGCATGGAAGGAATGCAGCCAATCCAATCCAAGCTTTCATATCTGGCTCAGGACTAAGTTTTGGAAAGCTTGGATAGGGCCTGGCTGCTTCCATTTTCTTTATCTCTATGCTCATGGCCACGGTGATTCATTTAAAGATATTATGTCTAGGCCTTGCTCATTGGAAGTGTGCTGGGCACTAGTTTTTTCAGAATGAATTAGTCACTGCTTTCATCTCCACCATGATTGCCCTCATCACCACTGCCATCATCAATATCAGAGCCCTCCCCACTGCAATCCCCTCCAGTCCCTTCCTTGAATCTCACATCTTTTCCTCTGGCGCTACTTAAGGAATACCATTAGAGACAGTCAGTTTTTGTTGGCAGAATGAAAGTCAGCACTATTGTCACCACCACCAGTGATGGCATCATTACCACTGACAGATTCTATATCATCTCTGCCACTGATGTCACCATCACTAGCACCTCCACCACCATAAATGACATCACACCTCTGCCACCAACATCACCATATAATTAGCTTCACCACCATCACTGACGTCTCCGACATCACCATCACCATCACCACCATCATCACTGACATTACTCTATTGTGTTATTGTCACAGAATCCTTGAGGTGTTACTTTTCCAGCTGGAAACCTCTCTGGACAGTGACACCTTTGCCTGGGTTTTGCTTGGGCCTACTGGGCTTGTTTGCCCACTCGGCCTGGCAGGCTACATTAGGCTTGCACTATTGGCCTGGTGCCCACACCTGCCAAGGGAGAGCCAGACATGGAGTGTTGAGGGGTGTGCAAACGAGTGAATGTGGGATCTGGCCACTGCATACAGCCAGGCATGCCAGCTGTGGTGGGAGGGGCAGCTCCAGATGCTGGCATGGGCGCTGGCTCCCTGCAAGGTGGTGGCTGGACCAGGAGTACCACAGGCAGCATCCATGGCTGGCACAAGGGAATGCAGTCGTGCATGGAAGCTTGGGGACACCAAGAACCACAGAGCCCCAAAGAGGGTGTCACAGCCCTGGCTCGGGGAGCTCCTAGGTCTGGGCTCCCCAAAGGGCTATAGCTCTTTTCTCCTTCTCTCTTCTCTCCTTCCTGTCACCTGCAACATGGCAAGCAAGGAGTGGGTTTCAGCCCTGTTTGTGTTATAGCTCTTTCAACCTTGCCATTCGGTGGATCTCAAGTTCTTGTCCCACATCCAGGAAGAATGAGGCATGTGGACGAGTGGAGGGTGAGCAAGGCAAAGAGTTGCTTTACTGAGCAACAGAACAGCTCAGAAGAGACCCTCAGTGAGTAGCTCCTCTCCACAGGCAGGTCATCTGGTAGTCTGCCTGAGCTGGCTGAGTCTGGGGGTTTTTATGGGCTTCAGAGGGGAGGAAGTGTATGCTGATTGGTCCATGGGTGGCCACGGGCAGGCCCAGAAAAAGCCCCATAGGTTGTCACTGCAGTCCGTGGAACTGGCAGCCTGGCCCACAGGCCTCAGACCGTCCCTGGCCTGAAGGTGGGGTTTCACCAGGATCTGTCCCCTTCCCACCCAGGGTCTGCCTGCCTCCTGCTGTCATTAACCTGCCATCCATTGTGCCCAGGCTGTTCATGATGAGGGGTGACTGCAGGCCCATGCTGAGCCATCCTTAGCACCCCCTCAGTCTCTCAGCCTCTCTTCCATGCTTGTTGGTGCCCAAAGTCCAGAGGGGGGCCAAGAAGGCATGGGGCTGGCGTGTCAGTGCTGCCCAGGTGTGCACACAAAGTTGTGGCTGAGCCCATGCAGCCACAACTTTGCTCCGAAATCAGAGTGGGCACCAGGAGTGGGGAGAGGCCAGGCAGTGGGAGCAGGCAGTTCCGAGTCTGTGGGGGTATGGGGGTTTCCAGGGCCCCCAAGAGTGCAGAGATGCCTGGGTCCACAGCTGTGGCAGGTGGCTGCAGCTGTGCCTGGGAAGGTGGGGCTCCCACCCCTCCAACTAGGAAGGGGGCAGGGCTCCTGCCTGTTTCCGGCCCCCACTGGCTCCATGGAGCATGCAGCCCTCACTGCGCCTCCCCCACTGCAGCTGACATCATGGCAGTGGCTGCTCCAGATGGGCCGCCACTGCCATCATTAGAGCAGTCCAAATGGTCTAAGACAGTACTCAATAAATGCACACTGAAACAAACTAGACTATCATAACACAAACTTAGGCTCTAGGATTTCAATGCTTCCTATGGTTCTGTCTCTGGAATGGACCCTACTAGAGAAAAACAACACTGGGCTGTATAAATTATAAACTAAGTGAGTTCACTAAGTGAGCCAGAGAAGGGGAAATCAATGAATGAATTATACAGCCCAGTATTATTTTTTAGGACCTGCATAGCAGCATGGTGGGAAGATCCTAATCTACAGTCCACCGGGCTGGGAGTGCTGCAGATGAGTTGAGAGAAGCTCCACTCTTCCAAGATTGTTACTTTCATCACTCTATCACCTGGAATTTATCTGAATCCGGATCAATTAGGTGTCAAGACTGAATCCACCTTGTCCTTAAGACCTAACAGGTTTTCAAATGCGTGCTCTAGTAGACAAGAGGCTCCTTGCAGATAGCACAGGAAATGATGTGAGGTTCCAGGAGGGGAGCTTGAGAGGGGTTGTGTGGGGAGAGGGATCTGGGATCTGCACCCAAACTTCAACCACTGGGCTTCTGGGAAGGACCATGTAATAATGGCGCTCCAGTGATTTTAAAAACAGGTTTGGCAGCAAGTGGTCTAGAAGGTGAGTTCTTAAATTTTTGTTTTAAAATAGATGTTTGGCATTGCGTGTAGGTCCCAACAAAAAATAATCGGCCATCTAAAGTCACCAGTCTAAAAGAAGCATTAGAAAATGTTCATTTGATGTTTCTATTGATTCTTCTCTTCCCAAGGCCAAAACTAGCTCAGCAAGATGTCTTTTACTCTGGTTCTCTGCCTCTCTGGCAAAACGCAAACACAGCTTCATCCTTGGAGAACTGTCTTTCGTGCAGGAACCCTTATTTAAATAAACTGCCTTAGGAACATAAAAGCAAAGGAGAAGCGTAGTATATGAATTGACCCATGTGCCTTCCTGCCCAGCAAACACGAGCTCTTTAGCCATGCAGAGAAGATGTTGCTGGGGGGACAGTCCCTCATTCTTCACCATTCCTCCTTGACCTTCCGGCAAAGATACAGACGCTAACAGACTCAGAGCCGGTCCTGGATGGGAGACTGTCGCCTGAGGGGAAGGAGACCAAGCACTCACTGGGGACATAATGGCTTTGGAGTGATGGTCACTAAGAGTGCCAGGATGGGAGCAGAGGGAGGGGCAGTTGGCTAAAGAGTGAGAGGGATGGTCATGCCTTACCTCTAAGGACCAGTTCACAGCAAAAACAAGGGATCCCTCCGACCCATGTATAATGTCAGCCCTCCTGAAAACTTATAGTCACTGGGCAGGGCAGTGTGTATGTGTGTGCGTTTGTGTGTGTGTGTGTGTGTGCGTGTGTTGCTGAGCAGCTCTAGGGGCACACAGCAAGCCCCACCCCTTCTGCAATTTCAGCCTCTCTGGCCCATCTACATGTCTTCCCTCAGAGGGGCCAGCCAGAGCATGGGGCAGGCTGGGCAGGGGCTCAGGGCTGTGGCATAGCCCGGGGGAGCAGGTGTGATGCACCTTTTCCTCACGGAGCAACTGACTGCCTGGCCAAGGACAGAGTGCATTCTCAAAAAAGATTGATCAAGGCTGGAACATAAAATGTAGCTTGAGGACACATTTACAGGCTGATAAATGAAGGCACAATTATGAGGGAGCCTTTGAAACCAGGAAGGGAATTGCCTGCTCGTCAGATATTTCTCCCTTCCAGGCCAGCCCCTTCCACAGACTAGCAGGGAATCTCTGGAAAAAATGACTTAATTGTGCGACTGATATGGGGGGACTCAGGGGAGCAGTGGAGGTGGGGTCAGAGTCCCAGGACCAGCCTTCCTCTCAGGACCTGAGTCCAGATGAATTAATCTTTATTAAATGTGCTCAATTTTGTCTTCCACAGGGGTCTGGAAATCTCTCAGAGTTGGTTCTACTCTAACCATTTGTTTCCAGATGTGGATCCACTGCAGCCTTGGAAAACCCTCCACTGAGGAGGAGCCACTGACCCAGTCTCTTCCAGTAAGCACCCTCTCTAGCCTCAGAACGTGTCTCTTAGCCAGCTAACCTCTCTTCCTGTCCTACGACCCTGTCTCAACCCTCACGTGCGTCCCAGCCCCTAAGGTCAAAGAAGACATAACGCCCACCACAAACCATTATTCCAGAGGACTGTTTATATTGCAGCTGTTTTATCTACTCCCTCACTCCAGTGCCCGTGACCTTCATCCTGCCCATCGAGGGCATCGGTCCACTGTGGGCTTTGGTGTCCTCAGAGGAAGAAATCCTTTAATGTCTGAGGAACCTAGGGAGGAGGCAGGTGGGAGGCGCACAGACATTGGTCTATCACTTTCATTCTTCAGTTCTTCTAAGCAGTGACATTCTCCTGAGGCCCTGGGTGCCCAGACCCACTGGGATGGACACAGAATCGGGGGGCGGGGGGATGAAGGCCATGCTGTCAAGTAGCACAGCCCGCTCAGGGAGGAAGGAGCTACATGTGCAAACAGAAAGAAGACCATGAGGAGCAACATGCGTGGGTTGGTGGTAGAGAACGCGGCACAGTCTGTGTCTCTGAAGTTGAACGTGCCTGCCATGGGCTGTGTTTGGGAGATCAGGGTAGGCTGCTTGGAGGAAGAGGAGAAGGAGGAGGAGGAGGAGGAGAAGGAGGAGGACGAGGACAAATCACTGGGGTAACTTACATCCTTCTGGATGAGCTCAGCATAAACCACGCAGGCAGCGGAGATCAGCTCATCAGCATCAAGGTCAATGAGCTTGTTGCAGGCCTGTGCAGGAGCATGGGAGCTGTTGTGGATGGGGCTGGGGCAAATGTCTCCCTGCACTCTTGGGCACAGGCAGCTGCCTGCAGCACCCAGGGAAGAAGGATGCTGCTCACAGCAGTTGCTGGGGACCATCTGACCTCTCCCCAGCCTGCTTGGCTCAATGCCTAAAATTTGATATTTGGGGGCAATGGTAAATGTTAGCTTTCATGTTAGGCTCTAGGGAGTCCTGGGGTTCCACCAAGTGTCTTGGGGTCTTCGAAGGATGACTTGGTTTATATTTGGGGTGCCACCTAAGATTTGTTTCTTCCAACAAAGACTTCAGTAGCTTTTTTAAAATGATGGAAAACTCTAGGTCCTTCTGCTTCAGGAATATCCCAGGGCCACGGGGTTGACTGCGAGATGGTAGAGCTTAATGCTTAGGGAGTGTTCAAGGCCTCTGTTTCCTCATATGTTAACTACGAGTGATGACGATGGTTATAGCCTCTCTGTGTCAGGCTTGTGGTGAGGCTTAAATGAGCTAGTCTATTAAAAGCCCTTGGCACAGTAATCCGTACCTTAGCTCTCATTGCCCTTCCTGCCTGGGGGGAAAAGGTGGCATGGGTGCCCAGCACCCCATGAGCCCCGGTCTTGCAGCTGGGGTGGGGTGTCAGGGCCTCCAGGAGCTGGGCTGGTGGCTTGCCCGAGGGTGCTCTCACCAGGAGGATGTCGTCCCCGCCCATGCTTTCCTGCAGCACCTGCTCCCGCACCATCTGTAGCATGCTGTAGGCCACCAGCACCTGGAAGTTCCTGCAGGGCTTCCCCGTCAGCAGAACCTGTGGGTCAGGGCGTCTCAGTCTGGGCCCCGTGGCCTGAGACTGCAGATGCCCTGAGGATGGTGAGGTACCCACCAACCACGTGCCCGGGGTCAGCCATTCCTGGGTCTTGCTGCTGACTTGCTCATTCATTCATTCCTTCCTTCATTCACTCACTCATCCATTCACTCAGGCATGTGCTCACAGGTACCCCTGGCTCTAGGCATTGTGCTGTCTCCTGGGGGATTCAGAGATCGAGGCTTCAGGGAATTCATTAGATAGAGGAAGGGGAGGGAGGCAATGAGGGGTGGGAGATACTAGGAAACTGTCGAATTTGAGTGAGGTTTTGGCAAGCAAGGGTTGATGGGAATTAAATGACACAAGGGTGTCACCAAAGGCCTGGGTGTAGTCATGGACTTGGGCATGGAGACCAGCCAGCCAAGAGGGAGGGACAGGAAGGTGGGAATAGATCTGTGGGACCCTACATGTCAGGTGGATGGTTGGGCTGGACTCTGCAGGCAGCAGCGGCCATGGGAGGGCAGTGATGGGTGAGCATGGCATTCCTCAGGGGGTTCATCTGCTGATGGCTCTGGGTATTGTGGTCACAGGACTACAGGTGTCCTTGGGGACCCACCTTCTGTGAGAGAGTTCCACAGGAGCAGCACTCTGGGGAAGGGGAAGGCCGGGGCTGGGGGGACAGCTGGGGAAGTGGAAGTGTGGGGAGGCCACCTGGGCAGGGAAGCAGGGAAGTGGAGCTGCAGGCCCAGGCTCCCACTGCACAGGCCAGAGGGCCCTCCTGTGTCGACTGACCACAGAAGGCACAGCCAGTGAGGCCTTTGTGTTAAATGAACATATGGACAAAGTGATGCTCCAGCTTCCTCCAGCAAGATGGGAGCAGGGTTGCTGACCCAACAAAACCCCAAGATACTGAACTCCATCCAAGCCAGAAGGAAAGGGGGACGCAAGGAAGACTTGCAGCTTCCACTCTGCCCGAGGGGTGGAGCCCAGCCTGATGATCCCCAGTTGGGCACCTCACCTCCCAGAGCCTCCAGACGTCATCGAAGGACTTGAAGGCACGCTGGAAGCAGAAGCAGAACCAGGGGAAGAGGGACTGAACAGCTCCTGCACCCTTCCCTTCTGTGGGGACAGAAGCCGAGGCTGTAGTCAGGGAAAACACACATGATGCAGCAAACACATGCAGATGAGGCCAAACTATGGAGCCTGCAAAACACTTGGGAAATACAAAAAGCTTGCTGCCCTTTTTCCAGCTGCCCTGGGAGATGGTTTAGAGTCAACTTTCAACTGTCCAGACTCCAACCCCATCCAGATAACCCTCTTCCCAGGGCCTGGAGAGGCAATCAAATGACTCTGCTGCTCTCCAGCCCCCCATGATTAGGGACTGATAGTTAGGTCCCAGCCCCTCTCCCATGCCTACCCTGGGGGGTGGGTGAGGTGGCAGGAGGTGGGAGCCACTCACTTAGGTGCTCAGCAAACATGGGGTCCAGGAAGGTGATCAGGGTGTTGAGCATGTCTAGGTTCTTGCTCACGCCAATGTTGATGACACAGCTGTGTTCCTGCACACAACGGTGGGAGACAGACCGAGTCCTCCACGGCCTCAGGGCACTGTAAGAGTCAACTCTGCTTCTCACAGCTTCACTTCTGGAGGCTCTGTGTGTCTATCTGTGCGCTGGGCCCCCATGTCTCTACGAGTCTGTGTGTGTGTGTGCACATATCTGTGTGGCTGTGATCTGTATGCAAGTTTGTATATGTTGTGCACTTCTGGGTGGCTGTGTAGAGTGTGTGTGTATATGTGTGTGTGTGTGTGTGTGTGTGTGTGTGTGTAGTAGAGATTCTCAACTGCGGTTCACAGTCTAGTGAGCCCAGTTGCCCAGTTCTTCCCTCACACAATAGTGTTGAGGCAGAGCCAACTGGGACAAGGGAAAGGCAGCAAGCACATTTGCAGGGATGGTGGGGTGGAGGGAGGCATGAGGGAGGGTTCTGGGCAGCCTCTCACAGATCATGAGGAAAGGCTTTCCAGGGAAGTGTTCCAGGGAGCTGCACCTTCAAAACCCCTCAACTTGGACTGTGAGGGAGTTCCTGGGGACTACTGAGTCTCCTGGTGTGCCTGGAATTCAGGTTATGTGAAGGGAATAGCCCTGAATAACTGGCTAAGGTTATTGGATTTTATTCTGGAGGCCACGGGGAGCCATTGAGGAAGGAGAGGTAAGGAGGGAGGAGAGCCGTGCTTGGGGAAGAAAATGCCAGGAGAGGGCGCCACCCTAGGGCCTGGCGGATTCATGCTCTTTCAAGGTTTGTTGAGAGGTGGACCCAGAGCTTTGCTCCATTCCCCTTCTCCACTTCAATGCCTCCCCACCGCCACTACTTTGAACCACTGGGTTTAGCATCACCCTTCCAGGCTCCTCTGAGACCCAGAAGACTGGAGGGAATGGTTGGGGTTGGAGGGAATGGCTGGGGCTGCCAATGCCTGCCCAGCCTCAAGAAGTTGTTTGGGGAGTAGTGGGGGGTGGAGAGGGGCGTCCCTGAGCTCAGGCCTTGCACTCACCGTTTTCTGCAGGAAGAACTGGAAAAGCCAGAAGGTTTCGTGGTCGTGCTCCACCATCAGCTGGAAGAGCATCACCATCTCATGGAAACCCTGCTGGTACTCTGTGGCAAAGAGGGGGTTGGGGAGGAGGGGCTGGGTGGGAGGGCCTGGATCCTTGGCTTAGGCTGGGCCAGGTCCCAGGAGGGCATTGACAAGGGGAGGCTGAGGCTCACCTGCCTGCGTGTTGCAGACGTAACTCAGGAGCAGGATCTTCTCTAGCCTCTTCTTGTCGATGAGGACGTTGCCCAGGGGGTCTTTGTCATAGAGTTTCTGAATGTCACGTGCTAGGTTGGAAGCAAGAGGCAAGTGGGTGGTACCAGATCACATCCAGCAGGGCTATGGGTGAGTTTCTTCCCCTACCCCAATGGGCAGGCCCTAGGACATCCTGGAGGGAGACGGAGCTGTGAAAGGTACATCAGCCCCTGCCAGGCTTAGTTCTTCACCACACCCTGAGCTGTCTGTGTTTCTTCCCACCTCCAACCCTTTGATAAGGCCATACCCTCAGCCAGGAATGTCCTCCCCCACTGTTCCTCTCTGTCCAGTTCAAATCTAACCTCATTCAAAGCCAAAGAAAGGAGAGAGGAAGACCAGGCAGCAGGAATGTCATGCGCCCAGGGAAACATGGTATGGGGCATCTAGGGCCACACAGGAGAGACTGGTGGGGTGGATTAATCAAGGTTCAGCTGGCAAAACTCCAGGCACAAGTCAAAGCAACTCCCAGGATCCTGGAGCCATCCCTCCCTGGAAGTGACTAAGAAGGGGGCAGAGTCGGCTTCAAGCCCTCCCTCTGCCCAGCCCTCTCCACCCCACTTTGCTCACCAATGTTATTGCGAGTCTCTATGAAGTTCCGGTGCAGGTTTTCCAGAAGGGGCTGAATCTTCTCATACATTTGGCATAAGGCCTTGTAGTTCTTCCTGTGAGAACAGAACTGAGGCTGAACAAGGTGGCTTCCCCCTTCTGATAAGTGGAGAACGAGCAGCTGCAGCTACCTGCGATGCTCTCCCTCATCTCAACCTGTGCCACCCTAACTGTCCTCCAATGTGCACCTGGAGTGCAGAATGGAGACAGTTTAACCTCCTGGGCTCTGTACTCCAAACGCCGCACCTGAATCCTGGCTCTACACCTTAATAACTGGGTGTCTGCCACTGGGGGCAAGCCTTGGGGACATTGTTTTCCATCTCTAAGCCTCAGTTTCCCCATCTGTAGAATGGGCATAATACTGGCACCTGTGCCTAAGAATTGGAAGTGCTGAGTGAGGCGGTGTTTTGTCCTCATTATTAGAATATGGTTAGTTGGTATCGCTGGCTGCATGGTGGCCTCCAAAAAAACATATCCATGTCCTGACCCCTAGGACCTGTGAATGTAACCATATGGGGAAAAGAGTCTTTGTAGATGTGATTAAGCTGAGAATCTCCAGATGAGATCCTTAACTTAAGACTTTCCAGGTGGACCCCAAATCCAATGACATGTGTTCTTATAACACATAGAGAGGAGAAGGTCTCACGACCACGGGGACAGGGAATGGAGTGAGGCACACCAGCCGAGGAACACTGGGAGCCACCAGAAGCTGGGAGGTAAGGAAGGGTTCTACCCTAGAACCTTTGGAAGGAGCCAACAACTTGATTTTGGGCTTCCAGCTCCAGAACTGTGAGAGGACAGGTTTCTGCTGTCGGAAGTCACCCAGCGTGTGGTACTTGCTAAGGCAGCCTCAGAAAACCAACACAGGTGGGCTCTTGTCAGAGCTCCCGAGCCTCTCTGAGCTCCCCAGCCCAGCCCTCACACCCCCGTCCCGCCCTCGGTCACTCTGGCTGGCCCCGGCGTGTGAATCTTTTCCACATCCTGTCTGGATGCTCCCTTGGGGCTGGGCCTAGCTCCTGCTTCAGGCTCCCAGACCGGTGAGTCCACCTCAGGCTACACCGTGATGCAGCCACAATCCAAAGGAGTCCGTTCCTCTGATGGGAAGATATTCAGCAGTGGAGTCAGTCTGACTCAGCCAGTGTGTATGGAGACCTCCCATGGACAGGCAAGGTCAGGCGAGGGCCCAAGACAAAGGCAAACTGACGGCAGCCTCTGCCCTTATTTGCATTCAACCTGGGAGGGAAGACACAGGCTCCAGTCTCACTACTGTGGCACCAAGTGGCCAGGGTCGTGGAAGTGCAAGTCAAGGGCCTCTGGCTTGAGGGAGGGAGCATTCCTGTCAAAATCATAAAAGCTACTCATTCCTCCCCTGTGCAAGGTGCCTTACCTGTATTATCTGATTCAGCCCCCACAACCACTCTGTGAAATAAACTGTAACCCGAATTTTGTGAAGGAGGAGGCTGAGACTTCAGCACTGAAGTTCTTGGGCAAGTTCACCCAGCGTGTAAATCAGAGTGCTGAAATTTGAACCCAGTTTCCAAATCCAAGACGGTCCAAGTTCAAAGCTAGTGTGTTGTCTACTGAACCAAAGTGCCTCATCCCTGGCTCCCTTGGGAGATCTGGGAGGGTTGCTCGGAGGAGGTGCACTGTGGGATATGGGCCTCGAAGGAAGGGTGGGCTTTTGATAGGTGATGGTAGAAATCCATTGTGGAGGGAGGAGAAAGGGTGAACCAAGGACAGAGGGGAGTGCAAATGTGGTCTGTGCTGGGGCAGGGGTGGGGCAGGGGCGGGCAAATGAGGAGTCAGTAAGGCTGTCAGTGTGGTTGGAATGTCAGGTTCTGGGATAGTGGGCGATGTGGAGCTCGGATCAGGAAGTTTTTGGAAGAGATGTGCTATTTGAAACGTTACCAATTATACCACTGGGAGTGTTTCATCTAAGGACACAGGCAGCCCATACTGGGTTTTGTACCTTCCCCCTGGGCACTGGGAGGAAACACTGGACACAGGCGAGGAGTGGGGAGACTAGACCCAGGAGGCAGCTCAGCCCTAGGGGGCAGGGAGGAGGTGGAGTTGGGGTGGCACCCAGGGAAGCGGGTGGCAGAATGTGTTCAAAGGCTGCTTCAGAGGGAGAATGCATAGACCCTAGGGAAGGATGGGACTTGGGGACCCAGGGGTGGGAGGAGTGGCTGGGACCAAGCCCATGCCTGGCAGTTGGTAGGCTGGTAAATGGAGCTCAGGGAGAGAAGGCACTGGCATGAACTGGCCGCACCTCCTCTGTGCTGTGCCTGGGTCAGGAGGCATGGGGTTCCTCTCGGAATGAGAAGTTGCGTGGGGGCAGAAGACAGTCTGCAGGCTGGGGAGGCAGCACCTGCCACCTGCAGGCCCCCCTCCTGTCCCAACAGGGTCTGGAGTGTCCTACCTCCTCATGCTGTCCACCGTGAGCCGCTCATCCTGGGAACTCTGCCATGAGAAGTAGCCCGTGAGGAACTTCCAGGCTTCAGTCCTCACAAAGGGGTGCAGACCCTGGGGTGGGGGTGGGAGGTAGGGGTCATGGGCTCTTCGATGCCTACCGAAAGGGCTTCATCCAACGCCACACCTGCCCCCTGCCCGTCCATGCTCCCAGTTCCAGGGCAAGGCCAAGGGTAGCTTGGGGACCCACCCTTTCCAGGATGTTAATACAAATGAAGTCCCGTGACTTGGCCAAGTGGCCGTTCTCATCAAAGAAGCTGTCCCATTCTGTCTTGTCAATGGGTGGTTTTCTCTTCACCTGGCAAAAGCAGCAACTAGTTCCACCTTATGTTAGGAGACTTCAGCTTTTAAGTGTGATTTTAAATAATACGTTCTGGACTTTGCAATATGAATCAAAGCGCACAGCCTGACTTACTTCTGGAAATCTATCTTGAGGACATTACTGAAAATATACAGAAAAAAATCCTGTATGCACAATATAACTTTCATTGCACATTACTTACCAACATGAAAAATGCAAGCACTCTAAATGTTCTGCAATAAGGGGGTAGTTAAGTAAACTGTGGTTTATGTGCTCAATGGAATATTTTGAGGCATATAAATGTTGTTTACAAGGAATGAATAATAATCTGAAAAAATACAAATGTTAACAGAAAAAAGCAGAATACAGAATTGTGTATCTAGCATTTTCTCTATGTGCTATACTCTGTAGTACAACTATGGCACTCATAGTAATACCTCTCTATGTATTGTGTCTGTTATGTATTATAATAACACCCCACATAAACTCTAATATATAATGCATTGACTACTATAAAGTTGCTAGAAAAAGACTGAAAAAATACAAAAAAGTCCCCCCCCACAACTAAAAACAGCAGTGATTATCTTTGAGTGATAGGAAATAAGTACTTTTTATCCTTTTTCTTGTTTTTTTTTTTTTTTTTTTGAGACAGTCTCACTCTGTTGCCAGGCTGGAGTGCAGCAGTGTGGTCTCGGGTCACTGCAACCTCCGCCTCCTGGGTTCAAGTGATTCTCCTGCCTCAGCTTCCTGAGTAGCTGGGACTACAGGCATGCGCCACCATATCCAACTAATTTTTGTATTTTTAGTAGAGAGGGTGTTTTACCATGTTGGCCAGGATGGTCTTGATCTCTTGGCCTCAGGTCTTGATCTCTACCTCAGCCTCCCGAAGTGCTGGGATGACAGGCATGAGCCACCGCACCTGGCCTTTCTTGTATTTTTAAAATTTTCTATAATAATGTATACTGCTTTGATCATAGGAAAATATAAAATAAGCATTAATTAGACACAGTTATGAGTTCCACTTTACCTTTCCTGGAAATGTAAAATGGTTCATTATGAGGGATGGTTTCTGCTTTTGATAAAGGAGTGTGTGTGTGTGTGTGTGTTGTATATATCTGTGTGCTGTGTGCATGTGGACGTGTGTGTGTGTATGTGTTGGAGAGAGGTGAGTGCACTGTATGCAAAGTAATTCAAAATGCTTATAAAATAATAACTAGGGTCAGGTGCATTGGCTCATGCTTATAATCGCAGCACTTTGGGAGGCCAAGGCAGGTGGATCACTTGAGGTCAGTTCAAGACCAGCCTGGGCAACATGGTGAAACCCTGTCTCTACTAAAAATACAAAAACTAGCCAGGCATGGTGGTGCATGCCTGTAATCCTAGCTACTCAGGAGGCTGAGGCAGGAGAATTAAGTGAATCCGATAGGCAGAGGTTGCAGTGAGCTGAGATCATACCACCTTACTCCAGACTGGGCAACAGAGCACATAATAATAATAACGTCTGTAATAATAATAATAATAATAATAACAACAACAACAACGACAACAAAACAACTAGGAGTGAGAGTTCCTGTTGGAACAAGAGAAGATTCCTTTCTTCCTGGGGTATTCCCTTCTACTGGAGAGAATATCTTGAAATGCCACATCGCAGACATAAAGATGTGCTGATGGACAGAGCTGAGGAGACAGGTAAATATACACACTCCCAACTTCCCATTAGTATACATCTGAATATGTGACTCAAAATTAAATTTGCATACAAATCACTTAAGGATCTTCTGAAGGTTCAGGTTCTGATTCAGAGGGTTTGGGGTGGGGCCCAAGATGACGCATTTCTAACAAGCTCCTGAGTAACAGGTGATGCTGCTGGTCCACAAACCACATGAGTAGTAAAGTATTAGAAGGTAAAACAGGCCGGGCATGGTGGCTCACGCCTGTAATTCCAGCACTTTGGAAGGCCCAAGCAGGCAGATCACTGGAGGTCAGGAGTTCGAGACCAGCCTGGCCAACATGATAAAACCCCGTCTCTACTAAAAAAAAAATACAAAAATTAGCCAGGTGTGGTGGTGGGGTGCCTGTAATCCCAGCTACTCAGGAGGCTGAAGCAGAAGAATCACTTGAACCTGGGAGGCAGAGGTTGCAGTGAGCCAAGATCGTGGCACTGTATTCCAGCCTGGGTGACAGAGCAAGGCTCCTTCTCAAACAAATAAATACATAAATAAATGAAGGCAAAGCAGCCTTGTTAACTAAAAATAAGAGCCCACAGGCCCCAAATCGGGATAATTTCCACTACCTGTATGTTTGATGGAAATGGATTGAGAAACACATTCTTTAATAACTCGTGCATGCCCTGTCATCTGGACCCAAATAGGACATACAGGCCAAGAAGTTACAAATCTCGGTGTGGGCCTAACCCTGGGAAGCAGGGTCTGCCCTGATGTGTTCCGCACCTGCATAGACACTGCCACTCATCAGAGCGAGCTTTCTGCCCCTCTGACTGTCATCATGTTCTCCCAACCTACACTCATTCAGAAACTGCAACACTCAGCATGCAATGTGGCAGGAAGCAGAAGGGAACAGGCAAAGCTGGGCTGTGTCCCGGGATCCTTAACTATAAAAGGAAATGCTTTAACTTTAGAAATGCATTTCCATAAGGATTTTAGTCAATTTGTCCATTTCTATAATAAAGGCAGCTGTGATTCTGGTGGAGACTGCATTGAATCTGTAAGCCAGTTTGGGAGAACTGATGACACTATTGAGTCCTCTGACCCATGAACACAGTATATTTCTCTGTTTATGTAGGTCTTTTAAAATTTCTCTCGGCAGTGTCTTGTAGTTTTCAGTGTCTACGTCATTCATATATTTTGTCAAATTTATCCGTAAGTATTTTATATTTCAGATGCTACTATAAAAAGCATCATTTTAAAATTAAAATTTCTAATAGAAATACAATGTACTTTTATATATCGATCTTGTATTCCTGCAACCTAGTAAAACTCACTTATTAGTCCTAGTGGTTTTCTTGTGGATTCCATGGGATTTATGACATAGACCAGGGGTCAGCAAATTGTGATCCATGGGTCAAATGTGGCCTCCAATCTGTTTTTCTCAGTAAAGTTTTATTAGGACACAGCCACACCCACTCATTCATTTTTGTCTGTGGCTGCATTCATGCTATGATGGCAGAGTTGAGTAGCTGCAACAGAGATTGCATGGACACAAAGCCAAAAATTCTATTGTGACCGTTGCAGAAAAAATTTGTCAGCTCTGACATAGATGAGCATGTTCATCTGAGAATAAAGGCAGTTTAACTTCTTCCTTTCAAGTATGGATGCCTTTTATTTATTTTTTTCTTGTTTTACCGCACTGGCTAGAACTCAAGTGCAACGTTGAATAAAAGTGGTGAGAGAAGACATTCTTGCTTTGTTCCTAATCTTAGAGGAGCGGCATTCAGGCTTTCACAATTCAGTATAATGTGAACTCTAGGCTTCCTACAGATGCCTTTTATCAGATTGAAGACAGTCCCTTCCCGTTCTAGCATGCTGAGAGTTTTTAATTGGGAATGGATGTTGGATTTTGTCAAATAGTGTTCTGTATCTATTGAAATGGTCATATGGCTTTTCGTTTTTGAGTTTGTTAGGATGGTAAATTACACTGAATAATTTTGAATGGTAAATAAGCCTTGCATTCCTGGGATGAGCCCCACTTGGTGATGATGTGCTATGCTTTTTATACATTGTTGGATTCTATTTGCTAAAATTTTATTTAGAATTTTTGCATCCATGTTCACAAGAATCATTTGCCTGTGAGTTTCTTTTCTTGTAATAGCTCTAATTTTGGTATCAGGGTAATGTTGGCCTCACAGAATGAGTAGGGATGTGTTTCTATTTTTTTTTTTTTTTTTTTTTAGTTTTCTGGAAGTGTTTGTATAGAATTGGTATCATTTCTTTTTAAAATATTTGGTAGAACCAGCGAAGTCATCTGGGCTAAAGTTTTCTTTGTGGGAAAGTTTTTAACTACAGATTTCATTTCTTTATTAGATATTAGGATGGAGTCAAAAGAAATTGCTTTATTTTTGACTTTAAACATTAGGAATTTAAAGGAACAGGACATCTTCCTTCTAACTCACTTTAAAAAATAAAAGCAAGCAATACAGGAAACAACAGGGAATTAATAAAAGTATAAAGCATAAAAATGATAGAAATCCAAAGAAATTAATTATGAAAATAAATGCATTACATTCTCTTATTAGCTGTAAACATTAAAAAGCAATTGATGATGTGCCAGACACTGCTCTAAGCACTTTATATATATCAACCCATTTAATCTTCACAAGTATCTATGAGGTGGTATAGTTCTTGAACTGTTTTACAGATCAGGGAACTGAAGCCATAGGAGGGTTAATTAGCATATCTGAGATCACACAGAAAGTATCAGAGCTGAAGTTTGAACCCAAAGCTGTTTGATGCAAGAGTCAGAGGCCTAACCCTAATGCCACGCTGGGGGTGGGAGGGGCAGTGGGAAGGAATTAAAAGGCAAGGATTTTCCACTCAAATAAAAAATATGTAAGCTGTGAACAAAAGAAATACCTTAAAATCAAATGTCCTACAATGATTAAAAAATAAACGACGAACAAAGGTATGAAAAAATGTCAAACACAATGGAGAGGTAATATTGAAATTAAAGTAATATGCACAGCACGCCATAACAAAACATACAGCATCAACACAACAAGGCAGAAATAATTAGAAACATCACAAGAAGACATCTGTTGAGTATTCAGAGACTTTGCATCTCTAAACCTCTACCTGCAACAACTGGCCATCTGCCTACTTTGCCATGGTTGAATTTGTTTATAAAAAGTCACTGCTTCTTCCTTTTAGGAAACTTCATTTGTCTACACCCACCAGTTCCCTGTATCTCTCCAAACCTCAGCAAACTATAGGCCACCCACAAGACTATCTAAGACGCTTGCTAGTAAGCCAAGGACCAGAACAAGAAGGCTGTTGACCCGTAGAAGGCCAAGGGGGAAATGTCACTTAGAAGCCCCGTCTATATACACACCACCTACCTGCCTATGCTAGAAATCAGAGAATGTGTATCTAGGCTCCTTTAACGTGACGGAGATTGTCAGCACAGTGGCTTCTCAAATCAACCTTCATCTTCCCATGTTCCTCTGTTCTTTGCTCAACCAACCTATTAACACCCTTTCCCATACACTGGATATAATGAGCTGGTAATCCAGGAGGGGAAGTATGCAGTTTGCGAGGGGCTGGCTACCTCCAGCTCTGCAATGGTGCCTTTCCTAGTCTCCTGGGAAGCATAGTGCTAGATAGAGCAGCTGTGGAAATCTCTCACCTTCAGGGTGTGTCTAGGCAGGTTAAAGCTCTACATCAGCAAATCTGAGGAAGCCTTGGCCATTCTTCCCCTGGGGAAGGGAATCAGAAGTGGGAACCCTAAGTGGCTCAGCCCCTCTAAAAGTTTCCTGCGCTAGAGGCCTTGGCTTCAGGCATAAATCTCCTCTCGCCACTGCATCATTGGGTTAGGGCTTTTCTCCCTTATTTTCAGTAAAATAAGAAAGCCTTTGGAGGACAAGAAAAACTTTTTATGGGGATTTTGATGCCAAGTTTCTCTGAATACTCATAGCCATAGAGCCTCCAATAAAGCCCAGGGAAGGTCATTGACTTTGCTTAAGGTTCCTTCCCTCCCTCCCTCCCTCCCTCCCTTCCTTTCTTCCTTCTTTCTTCTTTCTTTCTTTTTTTTTTTTTTTTTTTTTTTTTTTTTGATGGCATCTCGCTCCGTCACCCAGGCTGGAGTGTAGTGGCACAATCTCGGCTCACCGCAACCCCCACCTCCTTGGTTCAAGAGATTTTCCTGCCTCAGTCTCTTAAGTAACTGGGATTACAGGGCTCACTACCATGCCTGGCTAATTTTTTGTATTTTTTAGTAGAGACAGGGTTTCACCACATTGGCCAGGCTGATCTTGAACTCATGACCTCAGGTGATCCGCCCGTTTTGGCCTCCCAAAGTGCTGGGATTACAGGGGTGAGCCACTGTGCCCGGACAAGGTTCTCTTTTCTACTCCAGTTCACCTGAGGACAAGATACACTCCCAACCGTAACAGGGGGTCCCCACTTCAGCAATTATTACCACACCAGGTGTGGAGGGTGTACCATCAGTACAGCACAGTGATGAAGAAAATGGTTTTAAACACTGGTTCACGAAGCTAATTGTGCATCAGAGTCCCCTGGAGGGATGAGTTACAAAAAACACAGGTCTCTGGGCTTTGTCTCAAGTTTCTTGTTCAGAAGATCTGGGGCCCAAGAGTCTGCATTCTTACAAGTTCCCAGTTGGTGCTAATGCTGCAGGTTTGGGTGCCACACGTTGAGAATACTGATTTTTGCACCCCACCTGTCTGGGTCTAAATACAAGTTAAGCCACTTACAAGCTGTGTGACTGTGGGCAAGTGACAAAGTCTCTGTGGCTCCATTTTTTCATTTATAAAAAGAAGACAACAGCATTATTCACCTCATAGCGTTGTGATGAGAATGAATGACTATAAATAAAGCATTTAGAACAGTCATCGTATATAATAAATGCTATGTGACAGTTTATTTTATTAGCCTTCTCTAAGCTCAGAGAAATGAGAAAGATATAAAGAAAATTTAAAGCAAGGCCTGGTGATAATTTGCAATAAAGCAATAACATTTAAAATTCAGGGACGAGGTGTCCATTTTGCATTTTTATGTATCACTCTCTTAATCACTATGATTAATGAGACCTGAGATTGGCTAAAGTTATTGTAATTAGTTATGATTTTGAAAAAATACTGTGTGGAAAATTTTTATGACTGAAGCCGACTTCTAACAAATAGCTGTATCTTGTAAACTGGGTTTAGAACTAGCTACTAACAAAAGCATTACTGCCACCTGGTGGCCGTATACCAAAATTGTTGGCAAAAAGCGCTGATGAAAATCTATCAGCATCTTCAGGGACGTGCTTGCAAACCTACACAACTCAATAAAGTTAGAATAGCACATTTGGGGAGAAGGTTTTGCTGGCTTGGAAAGAAGGTGAAAGGGTGCTTGGATATCTCAGTCCTGTTCTTGGGCTGATGGTAAGAGTAAGGTACAACCGCCCTTGCTCCACCTTCTATGTTAGCTCAGGGTTCTAGCTTTTCCCACCCAGCAGGGGAAAATGGTCCCAGTGCCAACCAGAGGCTGGGGAGGGAGGCACTCAGAACTGACGAAGAACACGCACCAGGATGAAGGAGGCTGACTGTCTGGCAGAGAGGCTGTTTTCAGGAGAGAGGGTGGTCATGGCCTCTGCTGTCTTCCAAACAGCCTCTGATCAGAACTCACTTGGAGCCCTAGTGATGCTTAATCAGCAGAGGAATGTGATCTTCCTTTTCGGAGATGGGCTGCATTCCCAGGAGGAACTGGCTGCTCCTGACCTCCCACACTGGAACAGAGCCGGCCAGCGGTGTGTCACAAGGCCCCCGGAACCCTCATCACAATGACCTGGAAGATAGGAGCACCCACCTTTAGAGATGAGACACAAGCAGGAGAGGAGGGATTAAAGCTGCTAGTTACGGGGAAAAAAAAAAAAAAAGCAAAACTGCAGTACACACAGTGGAGGTTGGATTCAGAGGACATGGGGACCAGTGTGGGCTATGCTGGTCAAGGAGGGCTTCCAGGGAGAGGTGGGTCATGAAGCCTTGCTCTCTATCTCTGACTCTTCCTCTGGACTCTCTTAGCTGGACTCCCTCCCTATTCCATCAGACCAGTGCCCAAAGTTGGAGAATAGCTAGAAACCAGGCTTCAGATGTCTTGGGTACCAGTTACAAAGATTCAGAATCAGTATGTTAGGGCTGGGGCCTGGGGGCTGGGGAATGTTTTTGATATACCTCCTGGGGTGACTCAGCTTCAGCATTGGAATGGTAGCTTCTGGGGTGGAGATCAGTTTTACTTAGCTTTTTATCCAGAGCACTCAGGATAGTGCCTGAGTAGCTGAGTTTAATGATTTAATTGAATGGGAGAATAAATGAAGCAGTCTTAGACCTCATCTCACTTCCCTCTCTGTATGTATGACAGAGATTTGTGCATGCCCCTTATCACCTCCTACCCTGAGTTCCTTTAGGTTAGGGTCAATATCAGATTCTTCTGTGGTTCCCTCTCCCGATGTCAGTTCTGCCATCAGTTGGCACTTGGTATGTGCTCAATATTTGTTGCATGGATCCAAGGAGTTGGCTCTGCTTGTCTCCAGCATCACTGTTCTCCACCTTAAGCATTACTTGCTCTTCTACTCAGGTCCCATCTGGCTCTAAAGCATCCTTAGTCATTAGAAGACGACAGTAATTAGACCAACCAAATTGGAATCAGGAGCTGGGAATTGGAATTTGGACTCTGACCTCAAATTTGGATGCTCCCCGCTTCTGAGCTACAGATTCCCCAGACATGAAATCAGAATACAGTCAACCTCTGGCTTTCACCTCCTTATTAACATAATGAATCACCATCCATATGGAAGTCTTCCGCGGACACAATTCATTGTCTCATTTACTGTTTCTGTTCTGCTTGCCTGCGGCACTGCAGAAGCCCTTTTAAATCAAAATGCCTTATTATCAGCCTCTCTCCACTACCCACTACCCTAGCCCAACCTAGGAGAGAGTTAAGAGCCTCTTCCCTTTTGTCTACTGCCCCTAGGTCTTCATGGAGTGGGAGGTGGGCAATGTTGAGTAGGGAAGGTGTGGAGTAAGGATGGGGCCCCTTGCACATTAGGGTGGCTTCATTCTAAGATCTGCAAGAAGTTTCCGAAGCAAATGTTTAGAGCAAGGGACATAGACATCATTTAGAATTATATATGTCTCTATTCTTCCACATTAACCACATAGGCAACTGAGAATTCACTGCAATTTTTCCTCGAGAAGATGAGGATCAGGTCGGGAATTGGAAATATCTGAGGGCTAAATTCAACCTGGCTTCTAAAATGAACATGGTGAACATAGATCAACTACCGAACTTCTTTTAACCTCTGGCATCCTATCTGTGAATTGCAGGTGATAACCCTTCCCCAAATGAGCAAATACAGTTTAGTCATATTACAAAAGCCCCATAGCAACCACATGGAGACTTAATATTTAAACAGAATTGCAGGACTCTGTGACTGAAGCAAAAAGGGCTTTTATTCCATCCCTCTTTCTTCTTTTTTCAGATTCTGAAAGGGAATTACATGTGTCCATTTTTTTCCAGGGCTGAATGATCCTTACCATGTCCATTGATTTACATAATTGCCCAAGTGCCTTAGATTCCCATGTATTGCTTTTCTGTTATGCATTTTCTCATCTCTGATGGGAATTCACCTTTCTGCTTTAAACTTCTGTACATGGGGATTCTTCAGGGAAAATATCATTTTAGGTGTTTGCATTAAAGAAGTCCAAGAAGGGAGAAAACCACTCAGTCCGTTTTTCTCTGCAGAATCTGGCTGTCCATTAGCTGATGTGGCTGTGGGGTGAGGAGAGAGAGGAGACTTGGAGGGGCCTGGGGAAGACCTCTCATCCGTGAGAAAGCTCATAGGCTTTGGTGCCAGAAAGACCTGGTTCAAATCCTGGCTCTGCTGCACACCAATGATATGACCTTGGTTGAGAAAGACAGTCTCATGCAGGTGGTCTTTTAACCTCTGCTCAGCCCCATACAAATGGCCTTGAGCCAAAAACACTTGCTTACCAAGAGATCTCTCAAGAGAGCTCTCATAGCTTGTGCTGGGCTTATCGCCTTGTGTGGGAATATGTTTTTCCTGTTCCAGACTCAGTGTGTACTCTTTTGTTCTGCTTAAGCTTGTGCGTCATGTGGCAGGCACCTGGCCAACCCCGCTGTTATATCTGTTCCAGGTGGGGAGGAAACAGGGTCCACACCCTGCTGCACAAGAGGGGGGCATGCAGACCATCACCTTATGTCTGCTGTAGGAAGAGACCCCTGGCCATGCGGGACTGAACCTGTGATTGCAGCTGATGTTGCTCTGTCTCTTCTCCGTGTGAGTAAAGTGTTGTTCCATCTAGTGCCTGCGTGAGTCGTGTCTTTCGTGGCGACACCTATAAACCATGGAGTGGGCTGGCATCCTGGTTCTGCTGCTCCTGTTGGCGGGCATTGTTGTGCTGTTTGCCATCCTCCACACATTGCGACTTCTCTACCCTGCCCAAGTCCCGGCATCTTCACATGTGCCATGAGGATGGTAATGCTTTACAGAACTGAAGGCTAACTGGAGCAGTGTACGTAAAGAGCCCAGCAAGGCCCTGGAGTGCAGGAGGCACCCAATGCATGGTAGTTATTATTATCCTCAGCATCACCAGTGTTATTACTAATGCCTAGGACTTGTCCACAAAAATCACTAGGAAAATTTCCTTCTGTGAACTAGACTCACGTCAAGATGCTGCCTGCTTCCATGAGGCTTGTAGTGACATCCATGTACAAGTTCAAAGACCCTCTGAGCCGACTTCCACTTCTCTGCATGCCTCTGGGAACCTAGGGGACCAGGATTACTGTAAAAGCAGGTAAGGCCAGTATTAAAAACCAGGTTCACTCCAGTCCCCTTCACATCAATGCAACAAGACACAACTCTGTAAAACGCCATGCAACTCTGTCTCCGTTAACAAGTATCAACCCCTTCAAAGGATACCTACCCATGACTGTCTAAGTCTGCGGCACTTTAGATCTTGATATAAATCATGTGCACTCTGATTTTATTTCATTGCAAAATGCCAAAGATCTTCCACGCTGAAGCTGTACTTTTCTATTTACCCCTCTTTGTGGGGGACCAGGGTAAGTTTAGATTTTTGGCATCAGGCTTTCTGCCCTCAACTCCATGGAGCATGGCATTTCTGATAATGCTGGAGATGGCTGCATGTCGTGTGTCACTAGCATGGGATAGCAGGGACGGGGAGTGGTGGAGACCGCTCCTTTCTGAGCACCAAGGTAGTTGGATTCCCCAGAGCAATAGCCAGCCCAGCCACCCTGGAAGTCCCCTGACCTAGTTGGAGGGCTAAGGAGTTACTGCACGTTGGGCCATCTCTAAGGTCTTGGGGAGCCCACCTCCTAGGTAGCTCTCTTGCATTCCAGAAATAACCCATAGGAGCAACTCTGGGCAAAAGAGGGACACTCTGCCATGGGCAGCTGAGGCGGAGCTCCTGAGTGCTCTCTCCACTCAGTGGGGCTTGCTCCATAAGGGGTCTTCTTCATGGTTGTACCTGTCACCTGTCCCCCATCCCAGGCTCCTGGGTCACCACAAAAGCAGGTAGCTCTGAGTCACCAAGCCCAGGCTATGCCTTTCCTGCTACCCATGTCTCCTGTTCATTCTGTCCCCAAGTCTCTCTCTTGCCTATGGACCTCCCAACCACAGCTGCCTTTTATTGGGCACTTGCTGTATTCCTCCAGTGAAGTGCTTTACCTAAGTGAGTGCCAGCCTTGAACACTGTGAGGCCAACAGAAGCTCAGAAAGGTTAAGTAACTTACCTGGAATTATCCAGCCAGAACGTGGGGAGCCAACAACCTTCCTAGCTCTGCCTAGCTTTGCCACTAGCCAGGCCGTCACAGTGTCACGTGGAGCTGCCTCCCCCATCCTGTTGGCAGTGGTGGGCATCGTGGAGCTCCTAGCTGGCTCAGGGGACTGTAATCCTACAGCCCAGTGGGGAGGGGGGGAGTTTGCTATAACTCCCTCTCCAGATTTTAAAATAGTTATTCAGTCTAAAAACAGACTAAGTGGTGCTGGTTGGAGGTGGGGGTGGGGAAGTATTGCAACCTAGATTATAAAGAGGATGGAAAGAGTGAAATGGAGAGGAAAAAGGACAAGAAACTCCAGCAAATGCCAGGGACTACTGATGGAGAGAAATAACGTGGCTAATTACATCTCTGAAGACTATCCATTCCAAAACAAATTTTTAACGAAAAAATAATGCATTTTCCCTGCAACTTAAATCTGGGAGTGAAGGGAATGAGCAGAGTCTCCCAGTGGGCACTAGAGTAGCTGTGCATGTGCAGGGGTGCCTCTGACCATCTCACCTTGATGAGTTGCTTCACCAGCATCCTCATCCTGAGGGTGACCACACAGCAGTCTTCCAAGGGAAGCCACAGGAGCGAGCCAAGGGAACCTCACACACCAAGCATCTGGGCTCCAGGACACCGGGTGCAGACCAAGGTCTGTAAATCCAATTCCCTTCCCCACCAAAGCTTGCGATGTTTCTCTCCATCAGCTCCAGGAGGCCTTCTCTGGTTATTTTCCTCCGCCCACCTCTCCTTTCCATTCTCTCCATCCGGGAGTTCCAGATCTTAAATCTATGGGTATAAAGTTGAGGTCCTTCGGCGAAATGAAGGCTCACCTCTAACAAGCCAAACAGATCTGTTTGGTAAGTGTGATTTTTTTGGAGAAGAGGAGCTCCTCCACTCTCCCCTCTTTCTAGCATAATCTGTAGACCAGAATAGGGAGAGAGAATCATGAGTTTTAGAGTCAAACAGACATGGGTTCAGATTCTAGTCTTATAACTTACTTGTTATTTGACCCAACTTAAGTCATTTAATTTCTCAGACTCAATTTCCTTATCTGTAAAAGGGGGTGCTTAGTAAAATTATTGTGTGGTTTAAATAATGTCTGCAAAGTGCTTTGCACCGTATCTAGTATATTCACCCTTGCAGTAAACAGTGGTTGTTTGTGTTATCACTTGTTTCAGAGCACAACAAGGCTAATCTTGAACTCCTCAAGATGCTTGCTCCTGGGATTCTTCAGCTGCAATCAGCA